TCCAGGCAAAGAAAGCAAGTAGTTGATGGAGGATAAAAGCTTTTAAAGCCCTGTCCGAAATAAGACAACTAGCACTGAGTGCTGATTTTTATAAAGGGGGTGGAGGCTATGTATGATGGATGTGAATGCTTATTTAGCCTTCCCTGGAATGTGATGGTTAACCTCGTGGAAATGCTGGGACACTTAATTATTTATCATATTCAAGTAGATCCATCACAGGATTATGGCAGAAGTTAGCTGGTTTATCTCAGGTTTTGCTTGGTGTGCATTTATGGCTGAGAGTTCTTTGCTGCTCTCCTCTGGTTCCCTTTTAATACGTTCGCATAAATACAGGACTTGTACTCTGTGTAGTTAACCGCAAAGAAAGGTCACATTTGGGGCATCAGTAAAGGAAGGCACATTTCAGCTTAAGCTGATTGATTGGTAGGGTTTTCCTACGGATATCAACACTTGGATGTGAATTTTCATAGCTGGTTTTCACTTTGTGACAGAAAAGATTATTGACAACCAAGTCCGGCTTTCTCCGTAAGTCATGGAATGAACCTGCAACGCTGCTTTCCTCTGCAGCATCTGGTTTTAGAAGGTGGTGTGTTTTGTTGGTGCTCCTAAGGGCATGTTGTAGGCAGAATATTAATGTTGATTCTGTGTTTCAACAAGTTTTATTGGGAAAGTATTTGGTACACTTACAACAGAGGTGGAAGAAAATCACAATCAGTTCCATAACCTTTCAACACCAAAGGGAGGGGGAAACATTTGGTAGCATTGCTACAAACAGGTGTAAGAGACTGTCTGTCAGTAAAAGATTTGAAAACTGAAAGCAATCACAAGTACTAACAAACTTGGCAGATGCTAAGAGATGCAACTCTTGAACCAAGATGTCTTTTGTGAAAATACATGTGAAGTGTGGAACAACACAATGGATGAGTTTGCAGTGTGGTGTCATCATCAGTACATGCTTGTTCCATAAGTCTGCCTGGGCCACAGGGGTGTTCTGCAGGGCTCAGTGTTGGGGTGAGCTCTGTTTATTATATTTATCAATGATCTGGACAAAGGAATTGAGTGTTTTCTCAGTAAATGCACAGGTAACACCAGGTTGGGTGGGAGTGTTGGTCTGCTGGAGGGATCTGGACAGGCTGGATTGATGGACCAAGGCCAATGGTGTGAGGCACAAGGGGAAGTGCAGGGTCCTGCCTTTGAGTCATAAGGAAAGGTTTAGATTGGATATTAGGGTGGTCAGGTATTGGAACAGGCTGCCTAGGGAAGTGGTGGAATCATCATCTTGGGAAGTGTTTAAAGAGCCTGTGGATATGGCACTTAAGGACATAATTTGTGGTGAATGTGCCAGTGCTGGGTCAGTGGTTGGACTTGGTGATCTTAGATGTCTTTCCCAACCTTAACAATTGTATGATTCTATGAATTTGCATTGTCTAATATAGATTTTAAAGGTATTTTTGAATAGCCCAAACCAGTATTTGGTAGTAAACAGGCAATACTCAATTCTGCTTGCAAGGAAAAATGCTTGTTTAATTAACCAGTTCTGTGTTAAATGGAGCTTGGTCTCATAAAAAGTAACAGATATAGAGGTGAATTATTTAAACAAGTTGGGGTTTTTTAAACTTAACCTACATTTGAAGGGAAAGCTTCTTTAGCTCTTTCTGTGCATGTGCCTCTCCCAGTAGCTCCTCGTTTCTCTTTCTGATGGTATCCATTGCATCAAAGCCCAGTAGAGTCCCTTTAGGCACTGAGTTGTCACATTGCTCTCTGACTTTGCACTGTGACACTGATGCAAAAGCTGGTTTTAATCACTGAAATATAAATGACAGTGTGATGTTTGCCTGACAGAACTACACAGTGGAATGAAGAAAAAAAAACACAGCAAAACCTGAAGTATCTTTAGTACTGTTTGTGTTGCGACTTCCTTCCAGTTGAACAGAAAGCTGTGGCATTCCTAAACCTTTATGTAGTGTGATGCACTTATCTTGCAGGGGAAAGACTGTGTACAAGAAGTAAAACTTCCTCACTTTGTATTGCACTCACCATTTATACTGAATCACTACAGGCTGCTTTTATCACTTGCAGCTTAAAATTCTGATTTGAATACTGTTCCTTCTGTAGAATTTCTTACATGGAAAAGGGATGTAAATGGCCAGGCCAGCTGTATGAGAAGAAAGCATAAAGTTTCTCAGAAGGAAACTGAGTGACATATTTTAAAGAAAAAAGTTGATCTGCCCATCCTTTCATTAGTTAACCTTCTTTTTGCTTAGCTGTGAGCTCTTTAAGGATAGAGTAACATAGGTGTCGTACTGCCAGCAACTTTGCTATCTGTAGCTTCTGCTGCAGTTAGTTTTGTCTTTCACATCTATTCAGATAAAAACGAGTGTTGCTGCTGTCATAGAGTGTTTGCTGTGATGATCCAGTTTAATGGTGGTTAATGGGCTTAATTTGGACTTGGGGTGGCAACAACAGCCTCAACTAGTGGAAGGAAAACCAACCCTAATCAGGCAGATCCTTCCTTTAGTTCAGACTAGAAACAGGGATAAGAAGTAGTATCTCCCACCTCCCTGCCCTTATGTTTTAGGAGAAAGATGGAATACAAGTATGTTTTTTCCTTTGGGTTTAATGCAATGGTTAAGTGTCTGGCTCGACCTTTTCTGGCACTTTGTTTACTCAAGAAAATACAGAGGACACTTCTGCTTCAGTCAGTCCTGCTGCCCCACATCAAGCGCAGAGACAAGGTTAGTAACGTATTTGCAAAACTGGACCATCCTTGTTCTCTGGCTGCTTCAATATGTCCTTCTCAGATAAAATAAGTTGTCTTTAAGCCAAAAAAATACAATTTGTAATAACACAGATGAGCTTAGCCAAGTCACTGTGCTGATCTGTGTACCTATACCTTGCAGCTTTATCTGAATGATTGTTTTCCTAGTTGACACTTAATTCCACATCATCCTAAAGTTTTTGTTCCATGAAACAAACTCAACAATGGTACTTACTGAGAGGAACACCTTTTCATGGGCCAACCTTCTGGCCTATCTCCCAAAGCAGCTGAAGAAAGCTTACCTAAAGCAAATGTGGAGGCATTAAAACACTGTCTCACAGTGCCCTGAACTAGCTGGATTTGTTTGGGGTTCTTCTCTGTGCCCCTGGCTAGCAGGCTTTCTTTTTTTAACCTGAAACTTTCTGCTTAAGTGCACATTCAGTCTTCTATCCAAATAGTTACCTTTGGGAAGAGGCTCTAAAAAAAGCAATACGGGTTTTGGGCTGTCATGAGTTCATGATATCCATAACTTCAGCATCTTGTGTAGCTTTCTCTGGAAGAGGAGCAGGTACTCATGGCCAAACACGTGCCTATCCCCTGATGTTACCGTCAGACTGATGATGAGTATAGATCTGCAGCTTCATGATTTTCTTACACATCTTGGCTTGCTGTGAAAGTAGTTTTATGTCAGAATGAGGTTATTATTGCTTTATACAGTTGATTCTTATATATCCCCATGAAATTGACAGTTACAAAGACATTGTTAAATAACATGCTTACAGCTAGACTAGTCTGCAGACAGAATAAAGAAGATAACAGATTTGGCTTTGTGTACTAAGCTTTTCTCTCCCATAGAGCACGCACAACATCAAATAAGATCTTGTCTATTGGTGAACTCCCATAACACCTTGAACATGTGAATGACAAACATTAGCCTTCCTGCTATGGCTTCCTTTTATTTCCAGTTCCTGCAGAGTTTGGAAAAAATCCCCACATGGGGGTGATTACACTTCTAAGAGAATTCATCTCTCCAAAGGGGCTTTGTAGCAATTTCTAATTCTTGCAGCATTTGCTAATGAAATTTTGTGTGTTTATGTAAAATAAGTGTATCCACACCAGTGTGTGTATCTTCTGAGAGTGAAGAATTGCTGAATGAATTGGGCATAAAATGAAGGGGGAATAGATAATGTCATCTAGGAATATAAAGTTTAGTTTTTACGCTCCAAATTCAGTTTGGTCACCGTAGTAGGCTATGTATTAAATGTTTGAAGAAGTGCCTTAGTCTGAGTGCAGCCATGAGATCAGGGTTTGCACACACTCTGCTAAACCTGTCAGGCTGAACATTCTGCAGCTTTAAAATACTGCTGTTTTCTATGCCAGATGAGTTCCTTCTCCCTAAAATATGTCCGATGATCTCATTTATTATGTACGCAGAGTTTTCCTTACAAAAGGAAGCCTAAGAGTTAATTCTGCTTGGTGTAAATGCAGAGTAAATCTGCCTGCGTTTGAATTCACACCAGCAGAATGTGCACTTCAGTGAAGAACGTGGTACCTAATTTGTTGCTTCTGTGTAAGGAAAAAGTACAGGGTTTTTTTTTCCCTGAGTGCTATGTACTTATAACACTTCTGACAGGAAGATTATTGCAATTTGTGTAATTTATTTCTTTTGCACATGCTAAATTTATTACTGAAGAATTTTCCTTCTCTGTCAAATATGAAATGGAGAAGATAATTTTCTAATCACTTTGTAGCATTTAAATAATATGCCAATTTGTAGAACTCTTTACACACAAATTTCAGTCACCCAAAATATTGGTATAATGAACCTGCAGATAAAATTAAATTACTGTGCTTTAGGAAAGAGAAAGCAATATTGGTTACTGTCCAGCTACCTAAAGAAATAATACTGTAGAAACAGGAAATTATAAAAACAAAGCACTTTTAAACATGTTTTGCATTGTTAATTACCATAATTTAATACTTCAAACTATTAAAAAAAGTTTGCATCACTTGATGATGCAAGAAATAACACGAGTTTGTAGAATCCATACAGTACCTGCTAAATAAACAAGTTTGGCAGCTTAGCAAATATCATATGATTGCAGCATCCATGGTTTGAACTCAAACAGTGGTTTATTCCTCTGCAAAGAGTTTTTAAGTTGGAATAGCACACTCTGGGTCCTGGACAGTGTCTGAGCCCACAGAGTCTGAGGGAGATGTTTTTAGCGCAGAACTGCCCAAATCAAACGATTGTCTCCTTTGAGTTCCTTTTGAGGGACTGCAGGCCCAGCAGGGACTGCTGGTTGGAGGGGACGTTGGCAGACTTTGGGTTTAGGAGTATCACCCGCTGATTGGTGCGACGCCACTCGTTATACAATCTACAGTGATACCTAAAGGATACCTGGAGAGAGAAAGATGCACTGTGTTTAATCACTGTGGTCCTCCAAGAAATCAGATGGTGTTTGGGGGGAAATGCCTTGGATTGGAATAAAAGTGCCTAATGGGGCAGGACAAAACTGAGCAAAAAGTGGTGGAAAGAAGACACCTACCATGTAGATGGGTAGTCATTCCCCAAGTTGCCAGAGCAGAGGAGAAAAGCAAACTGTGCCTTACTTTCTGCTGTTGCTTCCCTCTCATTCCCCTTTTAATAACATGAAAAATCAGACATCCTTGCCTCTGTCTTTCCAAGAACTAGGATTGTTGGTGGACACAGGAAGAGTAAGTTTGGAGTGCTATTGTGCAGGTTGTTAAACTGACAAATAGTGTAATCCATGGGTGGTGAAGGCTTGGAGGTAGCTAAGCTGTGTGGAGACACTGACAGGGCTGTGTGTTCTACCTGGTAATGCTTTGCTGAATGAATCAAAGCCAGAATTGTACAGGTGCAGTGAGATCAGTGTGAGCCTAAGTTTGTGTGCCTCAATTTGGATTGTCTCAGAGATGTTTTTTCGTGTTACCACCTAACCAATTTCAAACTTACTGTGGAAGAGAAATGCCTGACTGCTATGGATAGTTAAGATAGCTTGGCCTCATATTTTTTATGCTTGTTTTAGTGACTGCCAAATGTTGTGGGAGTTGTAGCTGTGTAAGATGATGTTTTGGGGTGAAATGTGCCCCATGATGACTATCATGTTCTTGAGCTGTGGGCAGGAGGGACCCATGCAGTGAGTACAGGAGGAACCTTGTCTTGTTAGCTGTTCTGTCTTCATGTGCAGCTGTTCTTCTGTTCCTGGTCCTTGTGCACCTGTGTCACTTCTGTAGAGGTCAGTGCTGCTCAGAGAGCAGAAGGTGCTGTGAAGGCTGGAGGTAACATACTTGGTTTGCACAGATGGGTGGAAGATGCTGTTGGCTCTATGCACAGAATCTGTCCCTCATCCTGCTGTTAAAGGGGCTGTGCTGCTGGCTCCTACCCCTGCAGCAAGAAGATGCTGGCTGCTAATGAGGTGTGGAGGGATAATCACTAACACACGGCTATGAAAATATCCTTTTCCTATTGCAAAAGGGGTGCTCTTAAATAAATGAATTTACCTTTCAATAATGTCCCGCCAAGGTTAAAAAATACGTTCTAGGTTGCTTTTCTTTTTTATTAGATCTTTATACAGCTGTCTGCTGTTAATGAGGGAAACCTATGAAGCTTGTGTTTACTAAGCAGTTTCCCAAAGACAGCTCTTCGCACAGATGAATTGATTCCTCACCTTTCATTCTCCTCTACTCCCCTTGAAGGTAAAGCAGTCTGCATTGTCGTTCCTGCACAGCTTTATGTATGAAAGAATATGCAAAGCCTCTTTTAAAAAATCATGAAGTATCAGCAGAGATCACATGGGTAGTGAGGAGGGTAAAAAGATCCCAAACCCCTGCAAAGGTGGGTGCCATGCAAAATGCAGTGACTGCTCCAGGAAAGTGAGCTAAGAGTTTGGGCTGAATCTTCCAGCAGCATCACATGAGATTCTTTGAGTAACAGCTGCGTTGTTAAGCCAGGCTCTAGCTGCTTGTTTAAAGTGTTTTCACAGAATACCCTGGTTAACTTTGTGTACAGTGGGTTCTTGCCTGGGGCAGTTCCCAAGTGATGTCAGTTACTGGAATTTCTGCAAAGTCACAGTTACTCACCCTGAACTGTTACACTGGATGTGAAACTCTTTGGATGCTGAAAATAGACTAGATTTACACTGGCCCTTGGCACATTAAACTCCCTTGCCTGCCTCTTCAGTAAGACAGCTATGGGGTGTCTTTGGGGTAAGCCTTTGTTTTAAACCAGCACCTATGTTATACTGGAAGCTATGAGGTCAAACCCTGTTCTACTCCAAGCTGCTACTTGATCTTAGAATCACAGAATCATAGAATTTTACGGTTAGAATGGACCTTAAAGATCATCTAGTCGCAACCCCCTGCCGGGGGCAGGGACACCTCCTCACTTGATCACCCGTGGGCAGGGACACCTCCTCACTAGATCAGGTTGCTCATGGCTTCATCCAGCCTGGCCTTGAACACTGCCAGGGTTGGGGCAGCCACCACGTCCCTGGACAACCTGGGACAGTGTCTCACGACCCTTATATTCTCACATCCAACCTAAACTTTCCCTCTTTCAGTTTGAACCCATTACCCCTTGTCCTATCATTGCAGTTCCTAACAAAGAGTCCCTCTCTGGCTCCTTGTAGGCCCTTCAGATATTGAAAAGTTGCTTTGAGTTCTCCATGCATTCTTCTCTTCTCCACCTTAGAGGAGTCAAGATGACTTGCATGCCAGAGGAAGCAGAGTGTGGCCCTGAATTCTCAGTTTAAATCGCAATCTCCTTATTGTGTCTGGAGATTTCTTCTTCGGACTAGCATGCACTTTTTTTGAAATGTGTACATCAATTGCAGTGATTAAATACAAAGGAACAGCAACAGCATTTTATGGATAACTTGGCTGTATTAGAGATAGGGATGAAATAACTTACTGGATGCTAAAAATAGCATCTTTCCTGTTCACTGCTCACTGGGATAACTGTGGTGTGTAAATAATCTATATGCCAGTTTCTGCCTCCAGAGAAAAGTTGATTTATTGGAAATAAAATGAAGTTTTAGTTTTCTTAATTTTACCAGGACCTATAAGAACATTTTATCATGTGGTGTGTAATTTACCCACTGCACTCAATATATTCCCTGCACAGTCATAACTGAGTAAGCAGTATAGGATTCTCCCACTCCCAGAAATTACAAGTCAGGCTTTGCTGGATAATTTGATGGGATTAGCACTTCTGTGTGTGCATCCATTTAATCTTCTTGCATGACGAAGAGAGTTTGGAGCCTCCCCAGGGCAGGTGCAGGCTGGGGCTTACCTGCAAGCCTGATGGTCCTCAGGCCACAGAGCAGAGAGACAGTGTAGAGACTGTCTCCACGTGTGGGGTGCTCAGTGCCATTTGTGAAGTAGCTGCTTTAAATCTCTACCTGGACTCTGCAAATCTGTCCTCAAAACTCTTTCACCCAGCACAAAGGCTGTGAGGGCAATGAGAGCTTCAACTGGACTGTGAGGAGAGCCTGGGAAACCTTCCCACCGTGTCTCTGCTCTGCCCACTGAATTAACCCCATGCTGAACAGGAGGGTTACTGTGCCTTCCAACTTCAATCAGCTTCCCTAGCCCATCCATCTCCTACTGCTCCAAATAACAGTTTGCAGTGAAATCACAGCTCTCCACAGCTCAGTCACAGATGCTATATTTTGGATTAAATCTACCAAGGTGTACATTTACATCAGGCTCACTATCACCGTGTTCTCCAAGTGCCAATAGCATGTTCCTCTGTAAGCTTTTGAAGGTGCTTAATAAGGGGAATTTTTGCCACTTACAGTGTTAGGAACTAAAGTTGATATGCTGCAGTAGTCTTAATGATCAAGGTCAGGTAAGCCCACATGTCATGGCTAATTAAATCCAACTACTTAGCTAGACTGCTGTTTACACCTTCCAACCGTTGTGTTGATGGTGAATTAAGTGTATTAGGTAAACTGGGCAACATTTGGGTTTCTAAGACAGTCATACACAAAGGAAGTTTGAACAACCTTTGCTTGCATAGCTGACACATCTATGCACAGGACTGCAGGAGACACAAGTGTGACCCTGCTGTTGGAGTGAGTGTCCTGTCACAGAGTAGTGCTGCTCCTTCACAGAAGATGGAAGCAGAAGCAACAAGAAGAGAAACTGCATGAGGCTGACACAAAGCTCTGAGCTTTCCCTGCTGTTTTGTGCTGCTAACATTACCCGGCAGTTCTCTATGGGTGAGAGAGGGTTTCACTGTCACTAACACGTAAATGAGATGTTAGCTCTCATAGCTTTCTTGAAACTCCTTGTGAGTTAGTGTGGGGCTTTTGTGTTCCCCCCACCTTCCTTTTTCCAAGCTTACTCTGGGGGTTTCTAGCTGTGGGCTAGGTCTACTGATGCAGTTTTAGAAGTGTCACCTCATCAGCAGCTTACATTGATCAAAACCTGCTGGATGGCTTTACAGTATGTGGCCATACCCACTGAGGGGGATAGCTGTGAGATTAGTGCCCATGCCAGCACCACAGGCAGGATGGGTTTTCCTCTCCTCAGGGCAGCACAGGGTTGGATGAGCTTTTCCTCTCACAGCAGCACAGCCTTGCACCATCACACAAGCATTACACAGTTAGTGTGAATGGTCCCTGTCTGCATCCTGGGTTTGTTCTCCTTCCCACACTACAGCTAGAGGTGTGAAATGTCATTCTCAGCAGTAACCTGGGGTTTTCAGTGAACTGCTGGACCATGGCTTGATAAACACTTATTCTGGCAGCTGTTCCCTGTGTTCTCTTCGTTTCTGCTGGGCCAACTGTTTGTTGGTGCACTGGGACCAGAAACTGATCTCAGTTTAACAACTTGGCACGAAACAAGTGGCTTGTAGGATGGATTGGCACGCAAGTGACTCACACTGGGGTGCAGGATGCAATTTAATCTGCACTGCAAAGACAGCTATCTTTTTACAGACCTGGGTGTAAGGTCAGGGTTTTGCTGTGGACTTCCCGCAGCACCACAAGGAATGGGGAAAGCATGGGATGCACCCACATCCAATGCTTTTGAAGTGTAAAACTGGCCAGATGTTGCATTAGAATAAAATCTGAATCCTTTGTGGCAGCCAAGTGGTTCACCTAAATCCTTTCTGCGTTCTGTGCCTTCACCTCTTGCACATTATTTCTGAGGAAACTCCCTCCTGTAGCATGTGTCTTGAACTCCTCCATGTTACTTCCGTGTCTCCCTATTGCTATCCCCTCTAATGTTTGGGATTCGTTGACAGTCTGAGGAAGTTGGGGTCGTTCAGGCTGGAGAAGAGAAGGTTGTGTGGAGACATAGTAGCCTATCAGTATCTGGAGGGGCTACAGGGGAGCTGGAGAGGGACTCTTGGTTAGGAGCCGCAGGGACAGGAGGGGAAATTTAGGCTAGATAATAGGCAGACGTTTTCCCTGTGAGGGTGGTGAGACACTGTCCCAGGTTGCCCAGGGAGGCTGTGGCTGCCCCAACCCTGGCAGTGTTCACAGCCAGGTTGGATGGAGCCTTGAGCAACCTGCTCTGGTGGGAGGGGTCCCTGCCTACGGCAGGGGCTTGGGACTGGGTGATCTCCGAGGTCCATTCCAACCCCTAAAATTCTACAATTCTATGGTTTGCGAATTCTGACCCCAAAGCAAACTTTCTGGTTTCCCAGAGATCTTGCATGGTGTGGAACCAAGAGGTTTCTGGCAGATGCCATTTACATGTATCAGTACAGAAGCAAATACAAGCAATGCTTTGTGCAATGGTCAACACACCCTACAGCACTCTGTGCAATTAATTTTCTCATTTGTTCTTTCTCTTTATTCCTGTGAGTTGAATAAAACCCCCAATACTTACTAGGGTCCAAAAGAGGTAAATAGTGAAGAGTGCGACAGTGAGTGCAATGAGGCCAACAGCTTCTAGCCTACTACTAAAGTGCAGATGGTCCACTGCTCCTCGCAGACACAACCAGCCAGAGATGGTCGCCAGTGGAGTGATAAACAAGAAGCACACCATGTCTCCAAACAGAGTCCGTTTCTCGTGCTGGGGGCCTGGGTTCCTCAGCCACTGCAGGCAAAATGCAGACAAAGCCAAGTGTCAGCACAGGGAGGACGTTTTACCCAAGAGAAGCTGCTCACTTGCAAAATGCAGACCTGCCCCTCCAAGGAGGAAACATGGACCACGCACAGGACATGGCTTTGGCTGTCCCTAGGGAGCTCCCACCTGACCGTTCCCCCCGTGGCTTCCTTCAAGCAACGGGTCCCCACCACAACATTTATTAGTGTGGTAAAGCCTGCCTTGAGAAATGTTTTGCATACTGCAGCCCCTGTCATTTGGCTGTTGTTTGAGAAACTCCCTGCTTAATGTGCAAAGATTGCTATGCTTTCCTTACAGCTTGAGAGAGCAGAAAATGCTTAATATTTTGTATGTTATTTTGAGATTTGATGATTTTTTTACACTCTGCTTGTAATACTGGCAAAGCCTTTTCCCATTTGCTTTCAGACATCCACATGCAAGCAGAGTTGAATGCACACAAGGTTATTTTTATTAAGAGGGTATTAATCCTGCAGAACAGAGTGCCTGAAAGTCCACTGATGAACCCAAGGCTAAGACTAAACAGCTATCAAGTCCACATTCCTATAAACAAGACTTGAGATAGCAGAGAGGAAAGAAGTTCAACCTGCAACACTTTTAATGAAAAATCCTCATGAATTAAGTCAATATTTGAACAGGAAGGCTACCAAGCCCTGCACTTTTTGCCAATGTAAGCTGTAGGATTTGGTCAAACCTGCTCTGCAGCATCCTTTTATGGTAGTTTTTTTTTTTGTTCCTTGACCATATGACCATGTGAACCCCAAGGAGCCTGGGAGCTACATATTACCCTAGCCACAGGTAAGGGCAATGTGCAAGTTAACAAATATTTCTCATCTGTTTTTTCCCTTTCCTTCACCAGCTGTGGTGAGTTCACCCCAACGAGCAGCTAAGCACCCACACAGCCTCACCCCATCAGTATGAGGGGGAGAACAGCCAGAGGCTCCAAGCAGAGCTTGCTTCAGTAGAGCTTGTACAAGGTAAGGAGACATACATTTATATTTGAACAGCTTTTTGCTTTATTGCCACTTGATAGAGAATGACATAAATTCAAGTGTGGCTCACACCACTTTCCTTGATACTTTCAGTCCATTTGCTTAAAAACACCCCCAAGGGTTCATGCACAATGGTTTCAGGTTGTATTTGGTTGCTTCTAAACAGGACTGATTGCAACCTTCTCCTTGTTCAATTTCCATGAGTCCCTGTAATGTGAAACTGCCACGAAAATGAGAGGAACTAGAAGAGCCTGATAGTAGTGATTCTGCTTTTAAAGGTCTTGTGAAAAGCACTTGTTTAAAAGGTGACCTGGAAGAGAAATGCTGAGCATGTGCACTTCTCCTTGGATCTAAACAGGAATTGCAGGTGTTCACCACTTGAAAGTGCAACTCTCAGCACTGCGTGGTGACTGTTGCCCCTGTAGCTGGGCAGTGAGGAACACACTGCAACTCCAGTCCATCCAGTGGAGGCTTCATCCTCAAACTGCACTCTGCTGTGATACCTTTGGCATCCATGCAGCTCAGCCAGGGCAAGAAATAGGTCATAGAACTGAGCAAGAAGG